CCTCCTGGGTTCAGGCAATTCTCCTGCCTCAGCCTCCTGAGTAGCTGGGATTACAGGCACGCGCCACCATGCCCAGCTGATTTTTTGTATTTTTAGTAGAGACGAGGTTTCACTATGTTGACCAGGATGGTCTCGATCTCTTGACCTCGTGATCCACCCGCCTCGGCTTCCCAAAGTGCTGGGATTACAGGCGTGAGCCACCGCGCCCGGCTTGCCTGGTTTTAAGAGTGTTGGAGAGGGCCAGATGGAAAATGCACCTTGAGTGTTTGCTAAGCGTGTTGGCTGTGCTTGGTAGGAATGTTAATACACATCTCATTGAATGTGACGTTGCAGGGCTCAGAGAACACAATCAAAAGAAGCAAGAATAGGTACTGGGGGGCTGGTTATCGATGAAGCAAATGAAAGACAGGAAGTGTTATTTCAAAAAATTTGTTTCCTTTGTAGGTAAGTGAATCTGTGTGTAGCAGTTGGGAACACATACTCTGGTATAAAATATACCTGGGTTCAAATCCTAGCTCTGCCATCAATTTACTAAGCTGTGAGAATCTGGGTAGGTGACGTATCAGAACCTCAACGTACTGTCTGTAAAATGGGGATGATAATGCACCTACCTCCTTGGTTTGTTATAAAGGTTTAATAATTATTTATCTAAAGAGGTTAAGCACAGTGCTTGATACATAGTAAGCACTCAACAGAAGTTATCATCAGCGATTAATTTGTAACATCTCTCATTGTTTTTGCTGAGAGGGTGTTTCCAGGGCTCTCCCAGACCCCCTCCCTATATTTGAAAACCTGGTTTAAGTCCCAGCCTCTTCAGATAAACCTTTGACCTGCCCTCCACCCTGACATCCACAGCCATCCTAGAAACCTGCTATCCTCCTCTGATCTCCTGCAACACGATTGCCCTGGCTGGCCCATCCCTTACTTATTATTGTTGGACACCATCTCACAGGTATATCTGACTTTCCCCTACTAGGCCAAATAAGTTCCTTGAAGGTAGGAACCTGGCTGTGGGAGCCTGGCTGTATTCATTGCTATTTTCCCCAGTGTTGGTAGCACAATGCCTGACTCGAAGATGAAGCTCAATATATTTCAGATGGCTTGAATGGCAGGAATGTAGGTTTCAGGGAGGTAGAAAGGAACAAGAAAAAGGCCATGGCCCTGATGGTGTTACAGGAGCTTAGAACAAGTCTGGGAATGGAGAGGCAGAGCCTTACATTTACCTGGAGGAGATCAGGGATGTCTGGCATGGTCATTTGGAGGCAGGGGGATGGATAAAGTGACTCCTTTGATCCAGCCCTTCCATGTATTCTCATGCCATTAGGTCATGGGGCTCTGTTTTGGTAGCTCCAGATCCCGAGAATTGGGAGCAGAAAGGGCCCTCTTAGATCAGGGAGTTCTGTGTGCCCATTGCCTAGCTGGCAAGACTGAGAGACAGAGAGGTTTTCAGGCTCACTCGAGTTCCTCAGCATGTCAGTTGCAGGGTCAGGGGCATCCCATGATGCAAATTCACTGCTCAGAACTCATTCTGCTCATTGTCCTAGGAGCTCCCAATCTCCCCACACATCTGTCCTGTCCCTGCATGCATCCAGCCTCATCTATCCACGTCAGCTCTGACCCTTTTAGTGAATTAGTCCTTCAGCACCAATTAGGTTTAGCAGCTCCTGTTTTCTCCATCCAACAGCCTTTTAGAGCTAATTGCCTGATTTGTTTACACTGACCTGGGATTTCTCAAAGTCTGACCCTATTCCCCAGAGGAATAAAGCTCTATTGGCTGAAGCCCAGGAACCTGCATGGGGAGACTGTGGGAGGGAGGGGCTGTGGCCCTCTCTAGGAATCTGATGTTATAACCTATCAGGGGAGCAGCCTCTGATTCTGCCTGTGCTTGAGGCGGGGGATGTGGCCTGGCAGGAGCGATGCTTACGTTCCGCTGGAGACCTTCACACTGCCCACGCGGTCACTGAAGCCGTGGACCCAGAGACTGGGCGCATCATCCCCCTGGATCTCTGTGGTGTTGCCCTTGAAGTTAGCTCCTTCAAACAGGGAGATCTTGTGCTCCTGGGAGTCCTGGGGAAAGAGAGGGTGGGTCAGGTGTATGGAGTACAGGTGGGACAAAGAGAAGAAAGTTAGTGGTGCTTTCTGAGCCTGTGCCGGCCGCTGTGGGACTCTCCAGGGCCACTGCTGTCTAGTCTGGAAGGAAACATAAGGAAAACGGGATGACAGCTCCCATGTCACAGGGTCCTCGTGAGGATGAAATCAGTGCATCCATATAGAGCACTGAGCACGATGCCTGGCATACATCAGGTGCTGAATAAATGCATTTATGGCTCATGCCTATAATCCCAAAACTTTGAGAGGCCCAGGTGGGAGGAATGCTTGAGGTCAAGGTTTCAAGACCAGCCTTAGCAACATAGTAAGCGCCTGTCTCTCAAAAATATATATTTTTTAATTTGCCAGGCATGGTGGCACATGCCTGTAGTCTCAGCTACTTGGGAGGCTGAGGCAGGAGGATTACTTGAGCCCAGGAGGTTCAGGCTGCAGTGAGCCATGATTACACCACTGCACTCCAGCCTGGGTGACAGAGCAAGACTCTGTCTCAAAAAAAAATTTATTATTTTTTAAATTATGGTCAGGGACAAAAAGCTCGGAGAGGTCAAGCTTATTGATCAATATCACACAACCAGGGAGGGGGGCAGAAACTTTCAGAGAGACATTTCATTCCTAAGCCCAATCAATGAATGTCCCTGTGCCACCAGGAGTTTAACCAATTGCCCTTTTTTTTTAATGCTTCTTACAAACCAGGTGAAATGAGGAAGATTAGTGGAACACAGATCGAGGTTCAAATCCTGCCTCTGACATTTATGCTCTGGTGATCTTGACATTTTACTCTGCCTCCCTCAGAGCCTCAGTTTGTTTATCTTTAGAATGGGGTTAGTACCAGGCATGGTGGCTCACACCTGTAATCCCTGCACGTTGGGAGGTTGAGGCAGGTGAGTCACCTGAGGTCAGGAGTCTAAGACCAGCCTGGCCAACATGGTGAAACCCTGTCTCTACTAAAAATACAAAAATTAGCCAGGTGAAGTGGCAGGTGCCTGTAATCCCAGCTACTTGGGAGGCTGAGGCAGGAGAGTCGCTTGAACCTGGGAGGCGGAGGTTGCAGTGAGCCAAGATTTCGCTACTGCATTCCAGGCTGGGTGACAGAGTGAGACTCTGTCTCAAACAACAACAACAACAAAAAATGGGGTTACTATTACTTCGTGGGATTGTCATGGCTACTCAACTCACTGCTGAGTGCCCACTATAAAACAGGCTTGGCCGGGTGCGGTGGCTCAAGCCTGTAATCCCAGCACATTGGGAGGCGGAGGCAGGTGGATCACGAGGTCAAGAGATCGAGACCATCCTGGTCAACATGGTGAAATCGTGTCTCTACTAAAAATACAAAACATTAGCTGGGCATGGTGGCGCGTGCCTATAAGCCCAGCTACTCAGGAGGCTGAGGCAGGAGAATTGCCTGAACCCAGGAGGTGGAGGTTGCGGTGAGCCGAGATCGCGCCGTTGCACTCCAGCCTGGGTAACAAGAGCGAAACTCCGTCTCAAACAAACAAACAAAAAAAAACAGGCTCATCCTTGAACCTGGACACATGATTCAGTTCTGGCGTGCACTGACTTTTAATGCTTTCATGACCCTGTGTCTTGTTTTTTTTTTTTGAGACGGAGTTTCGCTCTTGTTGACCAGGATGGTCTCGAACTCTTGACCTCATGATCCACCCACCTCGGCCTCCCAAAGTGCTGGGATTACAGGTGTGAGCCACCGCGCCCGACCCTCCTGTGTCTTGTTTTTAAAGCTTGTCTGTTATTTCTGAGGGTAGGGATCATCTATCTTTTCAAAAGTCAACATGCCCTGTTTTAGGCCCAAGGGTTTGAAGAGCCAAAGAGGTGAACCGGAAATCACAGCAGAGAAACGCTAACCTCAGCCTCTAGGTTCAAAACCACAGACCTGGTTTCAAATCCCAGCCCCAGAAACTCCCAGCTGTGTGACCTTAGGCCAGTCATTTTCTAATTCTGAGTCTCAGTTTCCTGGCTTTTAAAATGCATGCTATCAGCCAGGCGTGGTGGCTCATGCCTATAATCCCAGCACTTTGGGAGGCCAAGGCGGGTGGATCACGAGGTCAAGAGATCGAGACCATCCTGGTCGACATGGTGAAACTGTCTCTACTAAAAATACAAAAATTAGCGGGGGGTGGTGGCGTGAGCCTGTAATCCCAGCTACTCAGGAGGCTGAGGCAGGAGAATCACTTGAACCCGGGAGGCGGAGGTTGCAGTGAGCTGAGATCGCATCATTGCACTCCAGCCTGGGTGACGAGAGTGAAACTCTGTCTCAAAATAAATAAATACATAAATGAAATAAAATGCATGTTATCTTAGCCTGTCACATAGGACAGTTGTAGGGATTACGTAAAAGGCGGGTTATATACCAGCACATAGTTGGTGCTTAAAAATGGGTGCTGTGATTATCTACCGTTATTCACCATTGTAGGAGGAAGAGGGGCCTAGGGCTATAGATGAAGAACGATCTTGTTAATTCTTCCAGAATAAAGGAGAGCAGATCAGGGAAGGCTTCATGGAAAAAGTGACACTTGAGAGGGGCCTTGGAGGTTAAGGAGGAGTGTGCAAAGCTGAGGGGGAAGGAAGGTTGAGGGAAGGCACTGAGGCAGAGAAGACATAGGCAAAGGCTGGGAGGTGGGGATGTGCAAAGAAAATCTCTGTGTGGACAGGGTAAAGAAGGGCCAGTGCACGGTGCCAGGCAGGGATGGCAGCACAGCGGACCCTTTGGGCCATGGTAAGACAAATACCCTTAGTGCAATTACTTGCCAGTGGCAAATGTACTTAATTAGCGGTAACAACGATGACGTATGACTGCCTAAGTCTTGAGGTCCTTGGGAGGGTTGTTAGTCAATGGCTCCCCATTGCTAGTGAGGTCAAGACTAAACTTACCTATGAGAGCCTGCAAGAATGGCCGCTGCCAACACCTCCCCTCCCATCTGCCTCCCTCTCTCCTCCGCTCCCTCTGCTGCAGCTTCGCTGGCCACCTTTAATTCTCTCGGCCCCACCAGTCCGTCCTTGCTCCAGGAATTTTGAACGCACAGTTCGCTGGAAGGCTTTTCCATCTGTTCTTCCCATGGCTGACTTGGTTTCCAAACTTTGGAAGCTGGCTTCCCTGACCACCCCTGCCCACTCCACCTCTAACAATACCTGAGTCCCCGATTCCCATTTCTGCTTTCCTAGTCAGATTGCATGGCCTTTGTGTAACGCCTACCATGGTCGATGAATCCATTGGAGATGGATTCCCATGATGAGGTTTTCTTTCTTTCTTTCTTTCTTTTTTTTTTTTTTTGAGATGGAGTCTCTCTCTGTCACCAAGCTGGAGTGTAGTGGCATGATCTCGGCTCACTGCAACCTCCACCTCCTGGGTTCAAGTGATTCTCCTTCAGCTTCCTGAGTAGCTGGAATTACAGGCGCACGCCACCATGCCCAACTAATATTTGTATTTTTAGGAGAGACGGGGTTTCACCATGTTGGCCAGGATGGTCTCCATCTCTTGATCTTGTGATCCACCTGCCTCGGCCTCCCAAAATGTTGGGATTACAGGCATGAGCCACTTCACCTGGCCCCATGATTATGTTTTCAATAGCTCCCTCCCTGGGTAGCTTAAGTCTCATGAAGACGGGACCTAGTCTGTTTGATACATGGTTTTGCACTCAGAGCCTAGATCAGAGCCTGGCAGAAAAAGGCCAATTGGTCAGGCACAGTGGCTCACACCTGTAATCCCAGCACTTTGGGAGGCCCAGGCAGGCAGATCACTTGAGATCAGGAGTTCGAGACCAGTCTGGCCAACATGGTGAAACCCTGTCTCTAAGAAAATCCAAAAAGTATCTGGGCGTGGTGGTGTACTCCTATCATCCCAGCTACTTGAGAGGCTGAGGCAGGAGAATTGCTTGACCCGGGAAGTCGAAGATTGCAATGAGCTGGATCGCGCCACTGCACTCCAGCCTGGGCGACAGAGTGACACTCTGTCTAAAAAAAACGAAAATAGAAACAGGCCAACCAACATACCCGGGTTGAAGTAGATGATGGTCAGCCTTATGCTTTTATTTTGAAAAGATATCTGTAACTTCCAGGACAGGGTGCCGGGAGGGAGTCAGGGAGCCCAGCAGGGAGAGAGCTGAAGCTGACAGAGACAGAGATGATGCTGGCCTGGACCAGGACCATGGCAGGGCAGAGAGAGCAAGGGTGAGACCAAGCTTATTTAACCTGCTGCCTGCAGGCCACGTGCGGCCCAGGGTTGCTTTGAATGCGGCTCAACACAAGCTTGTAAACCTTCTTAAAACGTGGGTGGTGGCTCACACCTGTAATCCCAGCAGTTTGGGAGGCCAAAGCAGGTGGATCACGAGGTTAGGATTTCAATTCCAGCCTGGCCAATACAGTGAAATCCTGTCTTTACTAAAAATGCAAAAATTAGCTGGGCGTGCTGGCATGCACCTGTAGTCCCAGCTACTCGGGAGACTGAGGCAGGAGAAGCACTTGAAGCTGGTAGGTGGAGGTCACAGTGAGCCAAGATCGCGCCACTGCCCTCCAGCCTGGGCAACAGGGTGAGACTCCATCTCAAAACAAACAAAAAAAATTATGAGATTTCTTTTTTGCAATTGTTTTAAAGCTCATCAGTCAACATCAGTGTTAGTGTATTTTATGTATAGCCCAAGACACTTCTTCTTCCACTGCGGCCCAGGGAAGCCAAAATATTGGGCATCCCTGATTTAGACCATTGGATCTCAGCCCTGGCTGCACAGACGGACTACTTAGAGAGCAAAGAAAAGATATCAGTGCCTGAGTCCCAGCGCCAGAGATTCAGAATTAATTGGTCTGGGGTGGAGTCAAGGCATTGAGATTTCTAAAAATTTCTAATGTAATATATTTTATTTAAACAAATATACCTGGGCTGGGTGCAGTGGCCCATGCCTGTAATCCCAGCACTTTGGGAGGCCTAGGCAGACAGCTCATGAGGTCAGGAGTTTGAGACCAGCCTGACCAACATGGTAAAACCCTGTCTCTACTAAAAATACAAAAATTAGCTGGGCGTGGTGGCAGGTGCCCGTAATCCCAGCTGCTTGGGAGGCTGAGGCAGGAGAATCACTTGAACCTGGGAGGCAGAGATTGCAGTGAGCTGAGATCGCACCACTGTGCTCCAGCCTGGGCAACAGAGTGAGAAATAAACAAAACTAAACTAAAACAAATATACCTAAAATATTATATTTTCAATATGTAGCCAATATAATGACATCAATGCATTGTTGACATTCTTAAATTTTTTTTTACTATGTATTCAAAACTTAGTGTACATTTTACACCATGACACATCTCCATTTAGTCTAGCCAAGATCCAAGTGTCCAATGGCCACATATGGCTAGTGTTTATTATATTGAATAGCAAGCTTCTAGAAGCTAATGGAAATGCCCTGGGTGATCACCCTTCCAAACAAATCCCTTGACATAGGTTGGCATGTAAGAACGATTCAACGATTGAGAAACACATCTGTGAATTCTATTTTTTTCTTTGTTTTGAGACAGAGTTTCGCTCTGTCTCCTAGGCTGAAGCACAATGGTGCAATCTCGGCTCACTGCAACCTCCCTATCCTGGGTTCAAGTGATTCCACTGCCTCAGCCTCCCGAGTAGCTGAGATTACAGGCACCCACCACCATGCCTGGCTAATTTTTGTATATTTAGTGGAGACAGAGTTTCACCATGTTGACCAGGCTAGTCTTGAACTCCTGACCTCAGGTGATCCACCTGTCTCGGCCTCCCAAAGTACTGGGATTACAGAGGTGAGCCACCGTGCCTGGTACATCTGTGAATTCTTACAGAGAGTACATCATGAAGGCAGACAATTCAGTCTTACATTCTGAGAAAAGCTTTGGGAATGATCTGTTTGAATAATCCATTAAGATAAATTTGGTGATGTCAAAACAGCTGGTGGTTGGCACCTGATAGCCTCAAATGCACACTCATGAAAATTCTTATAAACATTCCCATCACAGGAGACAAAAGTCAGTTACCATCAGCAACTAACATTGGTGAGCAAGATGTAGCTGGTTCATGACTCAGCATCAACTCAATTCTGGAAAAAACTGTGAATCACTTGGAGATATTGCCACCATTTTGACCTTGAATCTTCTGGAAGTTGACTTAGTTAAACATTATAAGAAACTAATTCAGTATATTGTCTTATTATTAACAGGTTCGAGCTGCGTTTCTATAATATCCCTCTTCTTAGCCATTGCATGATCTGTAACCAGCATGTTTGGTGTTTTGGATGGGCACTGAATTTTTTTTTTCTCCAAGCACCAGACTGGAGTGCAGTGGCTCAATCTCAGCTCACTGCAACCTCCGTCTCCCGTGTTCAAGCAATTCTGTCTCAGCCTCCCGAGTAGCTAGGACTACAGCTGTGCGCTACCACACCCAACTAATTTTTGTATTTTTAGTAGAGACGGGGTTTCACCATGTTGGCCAGGATGGTCTCGATCTCTTGACCTCGTGATCCGCCCGCATTGGCCTCCCAAAGTGCTGGGATTACAGGCGTGAGCCATGGCGCCAGACCTGGGCACTGAAATTTTAACAGCTTCCCCAGTCTTGGCATGGTGGCTCATGCCTGTAATCCTAGCACTTTGGGAGGCCCAGGTGGGAGTTTGAGGCCAGGAGTTCAAGGCCGCAGTGAACTATGATCACTAGTGAGTGTGTGAAGGACACTGATGAATTGATGAGCTCAAGAACCCACTGTCCTTCGACCACTCAGAGGCTGCCACACCTGCCTGCCCACCATCCTGTCCTTCTTGCCCATGTCAGATCTCAGACTGACCCCTGCTTGGCCCCGCCTGGCTGATTTGTCAGCCCCAGCCACAGAGCCACTCACCATCTTGATGGGTCGGAAGGACATGAGCCGGTCACTGCGGTAGCTGCTTGACCACGTGTCCCAGCGTGGGTACTCGCCTTTCTCCAGGATGAACATCTCCCCGCGGAAGTTGGACTGCTCAAAGGCGACCCAGCTGGACACAAGAAGGAGCGTGAGGCAGACGGGAGAAAAACGGTTAGTAGAAGCCTCCATTTCATACTTGCCTCTCTGTCCTGTGGCACGGCAGCCCGGAGGCCGGTAGAAAGTCCAAAGGGGGCCCAACGTGTCTGGGTCTGATTTTAAGCTATGACACTTAAAAGCTGTGTGACTCTGGGCAAGGGACTTCGCCTCTCTGAACCTTTGTTTCTCATCTACACTCACATGCCTATTTCCTTAGAGTTGGTGAAGGATTAAGTGAGATGAATGTGTGTGATTATTTGAGCACACTGTTTCTCTAAATGTAGTGTTCACATGTGCTTCAAGTACTGTGAGGACTTGGAGCCAAAAAACACACAGACATTTTAAACTTGACGCCAGATAGGAGAGTCCGTTTGATGTTAATGTGCCTTTAACACTTAACTAATCTCTCCTTTTTTTTTTTTTTTTTTTTGGTAACAAAGGGAGAAAAGGCGACTAGCCCAGAATCTCCAGCACATGTGGTATAATAGCAACATTGTAATGCTTTTGTGTTCCTTGTTAATTTTGTATGGATACTTTTTACTTATAGGAAATAATACTAGCCTTATATTTATAAAAGGTGGTGTAAAGGTTCTTTAAAAATGTGTTTATTTGGCCGGGCACGGTGGCTCACGCCTGTAATCCCAGCACTTTGGGAGGCTGAGGCAGGCGGATCACGAGGTCAGAGGTTCAAGACCAGCCCGACCAATGTGGTGAATCCCCGTCTCTACTTAAAATTACAAAAATTAGCCGGGCATGGTGGCGTGCACCAGTAATCCCAGCTACTTAGGAGGCCGAGGCAGGAGAATTGCTTGAAAATGGAAGGCGGAGGTTGCAGTGAGCTGAGAGCATGCCATTGCACTCCAGCCTGGGCAACAGAGCAAGACTCCATCTCAAAAAAAAAAAAAAAATTAGCTGGGCGTGGTGGCAGGTGCCTGTAATCTCAGCTACTCGGGAAGCTGAGGCAGGAAAATCACTTGAACCTGGGACATGGAGGTCGCAGCGTTGAGATGAGATCGTGCCATTGCTCTCCAACCTAGGGGATAAGAGCAAGACTTTCTCTCAAAAGAAATGTGTCTATTTGTGTTTAGCAGGATCATTTTAAAGGAAATATATTAAATAAACAACAGACTCGAAGGTACAGGGGAAAAATTAATACAGGTCTTTTCATCCTTGCTGGGTAAACACTGCCTGGCATTCGGGAGACACTTAGTAACCAGTATGGGGCAATGGGAAGGGAAAGATGGTAATACCTACCCTCAGATACCCATGATAATTTAACATGATACTGCATAGGAAGGTGCTAGGCTCCTTACAAGGACTAATTGGAAGTTTGAAATTAGATGGAAGATTTTCCTGGCTTTCCCAGTGAAGACTTATTAAGGATAGGAAGTGAGCTTGTATTGGAGGGACCAGGGATTGTGGCAATGTGGGTGAAGTAGATATGGTGATCCTCATTCCATAGATGAGAAAGCTGAGACTAAGGAACCCCTTGACCTTTTCTGCCTGTGTGTTCAAGATTTCTCAGGGAGCAAGAGAGGGACGCGGAGACACCGACATTAGCATCTTCTCCCGGAGGGCTGCTGGGACCCTGCTCTCACCCGAAGGAGATGAGCATGATGGACTATCACCCTGGGCTAAGAGAGAAGGCATCACAAGAGCCTCAGGTCTTTGTGGTTAATGATCAGTTAACCACAATGGAGTGAATTAAAGATATGTTTGTCTTCTCAGAATAGAGTTGAATTTGCCTCCGCCCTGTCTGGCCTGGAGTAGGAGAGAAATAAATGGAAGAATAGATGGATGGATGGACAGATGAAGGGATGAGTAGATGAAAGGATGCTTGAATAGGTGGATGGGTAGGTGGATGGATGAAGGAATTGTTGAATGGATAGGTAGATGGATGAGTGGATAGACGGACAGATTTATAGATGGATGGGTGGGTGACAGAGAGGAGGGGTATGTATGCATAAAAATGGAGAATAAATGTGTGAATGGATGTATAGGTGAATGGGTACATGCATGGGGAAGTACATGGATGATGAATACATGGGTGGATAGATGCATGGGTGAATAACAAGGGAGCCTTGGAATGTGGTTTCATGTAGGAGTTAAGAGGACAGACCCTGGAAACAGACAGAACTGACTTCCAATCCAAGCTTGCCATGTATTTGCCGCATGAACTTGGGCGGCACTTAGGCTTGCTAAGCTTTAGTAACAGAGAAGAAACGATTGTATCTACCTCGTTGGGAGGTTAGGAGAGCCTAAAAGAGGGAATGCGGCTGGGCGTGGTGGCTCATGCATGTAATCCCAGCACTTTGGGATGCTGAGGCAGGTGGATCACAAGGTCAGGAGTTCGAGACCAGCCTGGCCAATATGGTGAAACCCCCATCTCTACGAAAAATACAAAAATTAGCCAGGCATGGTGGCAGGCACCTGTAGTCACAGCTACTCAGGGGGCTGAGGCAGGAGAATCGCTTGAACCCGGGAGGCAGAGGTTGCAGTGAGCTGAGATTGGGCCACTGCACTCCAGCCTGGGTGACAGAGGAAGACGCTGTCTCAGAAAAAAAAAAAAGCGGGGCAATGCATGGGACAGATACAGCACAGAGTAAATCCTCAAATTAATACTGTTCATGATTAAAGGGAGAAGGAAACTGGAGGTCTAGGCTTATGGAAATACAGACACTTTGGTGATCTGGCCACCATGCCTGATGTCCCCCTGAAATCTTCCATCTCTTCTTGAGAAGGACCAGTGAAGACCAAAATTTTAAATGTTTACTCTATCCTCTTATCTCCCGTGGTTAATTTCAACCTGCAAGCAAAGAGAGAGGGTAGGGCAGGAATTTTAATTTACAAGATATGGAAACTGAGGCTTAGAGGGGTTAAGTCCCCAGCCTGAGGTCACACGATGGTGTCAGGTGTCAGGCTGTAGTCTCCTGGGTTTCAGGCACGCAGCCCTCCCCACCGCGGTGCTGAAGACAACCTCTCCCCACTTTCCTCATGCCCACCCCACCTTCTTCATTCTTTTTTCCCATGGTCCTGCCAGCGCCCACACAGACCCAGGCCCCCAGACCACAGGCCCTTTCCATGCCCATCAGGCACAGCCCCAAGGCACACGTCAGAGAGCAGCTGCATCTTCGAAGAGAAATACTCTGGGTTTGAGTCACTGGTACTGAAAAAGCCTGAAAACCCAAGCTGGCCACATCCGGTAGCTTCTGCTCCCAGCTGGGTTTTGGGGCTGAGGGTGGAGCCGAGGCTGCATTGACCACACTGAGGGTGGAGTGGGAGCAGGAGATAGAAATGGTCCCAGGGAGGCTCCAGGGTGAGTTGGCTAAATTCACAGGGCAGTGAGCTGAGTACGTGACAATCAGAGTCACCTGCCGTGTTTGAGTGCCTTCAAGGTGACAGGCTCATGCTGTATGATCTCCCTCAGACCTCAGAGTAATCCTGTGAGGAGTGGTGAGGGCCATCATTCTCCCCATTTCAAAGATGGGAAAACTGAGGCTTGGACACTGAACAAGGCAAACAGGGGAAGTCAGGACTCAAACCCAGGCTTGTCTGACCTCAAAGCCCATCTCAGAATGGGCTCAAAATACAGGCTGACTGGAACCCTTGGGGGCTTTCAAAGTGAGGAGACAAGAGCAAATGAGCCATGTGGATCTTGTCCTGGGGCTGCCCCTCCACCCTGACCTCAGCACACACAGGCTGGACATGGGGCAGTCACTCCGCCCAAGGGTAGCTATCCTTGCTTTATGTGGGAGTTGCTGAGGCTCAGGAAGCCCCAGAGACAGGAACAGGCAGTGAAGCATGGTGATTAAGAGCTTTGGGAGTGGCCGGGCGCGGTGGCTCAAGCCTATAATCCTAGCACTGTGGGAGGCCGAGGCGGGTGGATCATGAGGTCAAGGGCTCGAGACCATCCTGGTCAACATGGTGAAACCCCGTCTCTACTAAAACTACAAAAAATTAGCTGGGCATGGTGGCGCGTGCCTGTAATCCCAGCGACTCAGGAGGCTGAGGCAGGAGAATTGCCTGAACCCAGGAGGCGGAGGTTGCGGTGAGCCGAGATCGCGCCATTGCACTCCAGCCTGGGTAACAAGAGCGAAACTCCGTCTCAAAAAAGAAAAAAAAAGAGCTTTGGGAGTGAAATTGATCAACATGAGTTGAATCCTGGCTGTGCCACTTGCCACTAGGGGACCTTGGGCAAGAGACTTACCCTCTCTGAGCCTCAGTCTTTCTGTCTGTCAAGTGGGCATAAGAATAGCCCCTCCCTCCTACGTCACTGTGAATCATCAAAGTGCAGCCCCAAGTCAGTGGCTGGCACCGAGTGGGTGCTTCACGGATGCTTCTCATTACTCCCAGGCAGCTGGACACCCAGGAGAGGGGACAGCGAGTGGACATGTCACTCTGGCCTGTCTCTGCCCTCAGCGATGGGCTAGAGGTTTTGCTATAGTAGAAGGCACATTTCTCCAGAGCCCAGAACCACGGCTTACTGCCAGTGTGATCTTATGCTAATTGGATCACCCCTCCGAGCCTCAGTTTCCTCATCTGTAAAATGAGATTGAGAACAATTCCTCCCTCTCCGGTTTGATGGGAGGACTGGAAATAACATCTGTGCCAGAAGCACGAATGGCCGGGGGCACGGAGCAGATGCTGGAGAAATGGCAGCTCCTGTGGTGTGGTGGTCCCGAGGTGGCAGAGCAGGTGCCCTTCCTCCGCCCGACACTCACGGTCCCGCGGAGACGATGATGCTGCGTACACGGTCGAAGCCACGGTCTCCCAGGTTCGAGCACTCCCCTGAGAATTCCATCCGACGGCCCTGGAAGTTTTCCTTTTCGAAGACCACCAGCTGTGGGAGAGAAGCCCCCAGACCAGGGGCAGAGTGAGGGGAGTCAAAAACTCATTGAGGATATAGGTAAATAAAAGCAGGCAGTGAAGGGGTCACCTGAAAGTGTGAGAAGTGTGATGAACCATAGTTTGTGAAATGATCCTGTCCTCCCACTCCCAATTCTTTACCTTTTTTTTTTTTTTTTTTTTGAGACAAAGTTTCGCTCTTGTTGCCCAGGCTGGAGTGCAATGGCGCGATCTCGGCTCACCGCAACCTCCGCCTCCTGGGTTCAGGCAATTCTCCTGCCTCAGCCTCCTGAGTAGCTGGGATTACAGGCACGCACCACTATGCCCAGCTAATTTTTTGTATTTTTAGTAGAGACGGGGTTTCACCATGTTGACCAGGATGGTCTCGATCTCTCGACCTCGTGATCCACCCGCCTCGGCCTCCCAAAGTGCTGGGATTACAGGCTTGAGCCACCGCGCCCGGCTTTTTTTTTTTTTTTTTGAGTCTCACTTTCTCGCCCGAGCTGAAGTGCAGTGGCATAATCACAGCTCACTGCAACCTCTGCCTCCCAGGCTCAAGCGATCCTCCCACCTCAGCCTCCTGAGTAGTTGGGGTTACAGGCACGCACCACCATGCCCAGCTACTTTTTGTATTGTTTTGTGGAGACAGGGTTTTGCCATGTTGCCAGGCTGGTCCCTAACTCCTGAGCTCAAGTGATTGGCCCGCCTTGGCTTCCCGAAGTGTTGGGATTACAGGCGTGAGAGCTTGCACCTGGCCTCACCCCTAATTCTTAAGCAAAGATCTGCGCCATCATTAGGAACTTACGAACCTCCCTTTCAGGCCATTCTTCGTGCTGTTCCTCCTGCCTGGAATGCCTTCTCTACCACACATCTCCAGCTTGGAGGAGCTGCTGCCGCCTAACCAAAGCTCCCTAACTCATGTTCTAGACTCAATATTCTAGGCTCAGATGCCACCTTCTCCAGGAAGCCTTCCTTGATTGCCCCCTCCCCCATCGGCCTTGGTTGAGCATCCTCCACTGTATTCTCCCCATTAGCAGCACAACTAACCCACCACAGTCACTGCTGTTTTGCTTTGGGGTCTCCCTCTCCCTCTGTGCTCCCTCTCTCCCATTACCCAGCCCCTCCAAAGACCAAGGGCTCCTCCAGGGCAGGGCTCAAGATTAATCTATTTCTGTATCTCCATTCCCAGCCCCAGTACCTGCCATAGAGCTGATGCTCAGGAGACACTTGCAAATCCAACCCTCCACAGCAGAGGGGAAAACTTGAGACAATCTTCTCTTCTCACTAAGCCTCATGTTTTGGTTCCTTGTCCACTTGGTGTTCCAAGTTGGGACAACTTTGCCATTCACATGGACCGAGGCAATTGTCTGCCTTCTTTGAGCCTCAGTTTCCCCAGCTGTAAGGGGGGAGGTTCACATAACCGTGACCCAGCACTTCCACCCCTACCCTTGTTCACTCAAGAGAAACTCCCATATGTATGCCCCAGGAGACAGGGATAAGAACCTCCAAGCCGGCTGCATGCAGTGGCTCAAGCCTGTAATCCCAGCACATTGGGAGGCTGAGGCACCAGATCACAATGTCAGGAGATCAAGACCATCCTGGTCAACATGTGAAACCTGGTCTCTACTAAAATACAAAAAATTAGCCAGGCATGGTGGCACATGCCTGTAGTCCTAGATACTTGGGAGGCTGAGGCAGGGGAATTGCTTGAACCTGGGAGGCGGAGGTTGCAGTGAGCCAAGATTGTGCCACTGCACTACAGCCTGGTGACAAAGTGAGACTCCATCTCAAAAACAACAACAACAACGACAACAAAAATCCAAGTTGTGCTGTTCACCAGAGCAAAGCCAGCAACCACTGAAATCGTGTTCAGCAGGAAAGAGATGGTCACGCTCTGAAATACCATGCAAAAGCCAGAATGAATGACCTGCAGTCATGCCCAACAATATGGGTGGATATTAGGGATCTCACAGTAAGTGAAAAGTATGAAGAAAAACCCAGAATAATCACATTGCCTATTTCAATAAGTTAAAACCCAGAAAATCAGCCGGGCGCGGTGGCTCACGCCCATAATTCCAGCACTTGGGGAGGCTGAGGCTAGGAGTTTGAGACCAGCCTGGATAATACGGCAAAACCCTTTCTCTACCAAAAATATGAAAATTCGCCAGTCTCATAACCCATTCTCAAAATAAATAAATAAATACAAAAACCAAGTAAATAACTAGACACGTGTATATACATTTTTAAAAGAATAATGCATAAAATTGTATACGAAATCAAGCAAGCAGATTACAGACACAGGTTGAGATCAGGATGGTATTTCCTGGTGTAGGGGAGGAAAATGATGGGCTCGAGGGAGACAGCTTAGAGCTAGGTAGAAGGTTTTTAACCAAGTCCTGGCTTTTATACGGGTGGTGGGTTTGTAGGTGCATGTTACGTTATTAGAAATCAACTAATGATTAAATAGGTATATGCATAAAAGCCAGCCACGCACAGACCACATGAGAGCATGTCGTGAACCAAGGATCACAAAATGACCCATTTCTGTGCACCTGAGGACGAAACCAAACCCAGCCAAGTCCCAGGGGACTGAACACCTTGCTCCACAGGATCTCTTTCAGCCCAGAACACCTGGATCAATTTTCAGGAGGGTCTGAGGCCATCCCGCTGCCCTAGTCAGCCCCCAAGGACATCTGGTTTCTGCTGCTAAGCCAGCCCACTTCCTTTTCGCCGCCTTTTTTGTTTTTCTTGCTTTCGATAAACTCCAAGCATGTGCGCATGATTGACAGGTGTCCCTTCAGCTGTGAAGTGTTATGTTTTGGTTCTTGTTATCGTACAACTCCACAGTAGGTCCCCCCCCCCTTTTATTTTTATTTTTATTGTTTTTGAGACGGAATCTCACCCTGTCTCTCAGGCTAGAGTGCAGTGGCATGATTGCAGCTCACTGCAACCTCCACCTCCCGGATCCAAGTGATTCTCCTGCCTCAGCCTCCTGAATAGCTGGGATTACAGGCACCTGCCACCATGCCAGGGTAATTTTTGTATTTTTAGTAGAGACAGGGTTTCACCACGTTGGCCAGGCTGGTCTCGAACTCTTGACCTAAGGTGATCCACCTGCCTCGGCATCCAAAAGTGCTGGGATTACAGGCATGAGCCACCGTGCCCGGCCCCCCCTTTTTCCAAGTGTGTCAAAACCCCTGGCTATTTTTGGGGCTCCCAGATTGACTGGGCCACACTTGTGTCCCAGAAGGAGGCGGGAGGAGGAGGGAAAAAGAGAACAGAGACAGAGGATGAGCGTATGGGGAGGCAGAGAAGAAGAAAAGGGAGAGGAAATAGAAAGGAGAGGAAACGGGCAGAGGAAGAGGATGAGGAAGAGGTGTGGAGGAGGGAGAGGTGGAAGAGGAAGAGCAGGAGGAGGAGCAGAAAGGAAAAGAGGAGGGGGCGGAGGAGCGAAAAAAGCAGAGGAGCGGCACCCAGCCCCTGCACCCCCAGGTCCTTACCCTGTAGTTCCCAGGAGGCAGTTCCCCCGCCTTGGCGGTGACAATAGGCACGGTCGTTGGGCCCAGGGCGGTGATGGGACTAGGGGATGTTCCTGCAGGTGGGGCCCCCTTCTCCTTGGTATCAGGCCCTGGGTTCACCGCCACTGTGGCCGAGGCCTTCGCAGCCTGAGACATGGTTCCCGCCTGCAAAAGTCTGTAAAGAAAGCTTGGCTTTCTGGGCTGACACCTGCAACCTGCCTTCACAGCCCCACACCCTGTGCTTCCAGTCTCCTTGGAGCTCATTTGCTCTCCATCTCCTTCTGAAATGTAAGCCTGGAAGTTTTCTGTTCCATCCCTACTCCCCAGCCAAGACCCTCCCGTCCGCGGGCCGCTCATCCTATATATATATATCTTTTTCCTCCAGGCTTTTGACCATGCTGTTCCCTCCACCAGCTGTCCCACCCTCCTTAGCCCCCTGCAATTTTCCACACCACTCATCACGCCGATTTGCTCGTGTGACTTCCATTTGCCTCTCCAGGCTAATAACAAGAAGTCCCATCTGGGAGTACTGAAGGTATGCTGGGCACTGGGACATACATTCATTAACCCATCTGACCATAACCCTGACTCCATGGAGTGGCTGCTGTCACGATCCCCTCTGAGCAGTAGGGGGCTGGAGAAGGAAGGGGCCCAGCTCCGGCCCACACAGCCACTACGTGGTAGGGCTCGGATTTCAACTCAACTGGTTAGTAAAACGCTCTGCAGTTTGCTTAACCTGATTTATTCACCGGCCATCCCTAACACTTGGCTCTGCGCCTGGCACACAGGAGCTGCTCAATTAACATTTGTTCAGAAGATGAATGAATGCCTGCTCCCAGCTCCTTTCCCAGTCCACTTCCTCTGGGATTCTCTGGAGGGGGTGAGGGTGGTAATTGGCTGCAGATACAGGCGGGGACCGGGGCATACGGGAGGACCCAAGAGGATGTATTTATTGCCTGTGAAGGACGATGAAAATGAGGACTGGCTGGGCAGGCACTGGGTGGAGAGGGCTTTGGTCAATTCCAGCGGTTCCTTGTTGCTTTGGGGTCATGGACTCCTTTGAATGTTTGATGAGTACCTCAACTTTGTCCCCAGACAAAAATAATGCCCCCTTTAACTATGGAGACAATGTGAAGGGATTTGAGGACCCCCCTGATAGCACAGATGAAGACCCTCTGGTCAAGCTGATTCCGGAACATACTCTGTGTGAAGGAGCTAGTTGGGATAAGCAGGTCCCTCCCGAGCCTCCTCCAGGAAGGCGGTGCATATTCTGGGGTGCCCTGTTCATCAGGGGTGGGGCCAGACATCTGGGCCACATCTGTGGCTTTCAACACTCCCCCAGGGCTGGCAGCCAGACTTAATCCTTCCTGGAGACGTTCTCATTGTCTGTCTGTCTCCCCCTCACCCTCTCCCTGTTTCTCCTCCCCTCCCTCCCTTTGCTGTCTGTTTCTTGCTTCTGTCCTCTTTCGGCCTGTCTTCTGTTTCTCTCTCCCTCTCTGTTCCTCCGTCCCCCACTATCTTGTTCTCTTTGCGTCTTTGCTATCTGTTCTTTTTTTACTTGTCTCTCTGTTTATTCTGTCTCTGTCTCTCTCCCCTCTCCTTCTCTCTCCCTTTCTTTCGCTCTCTGCTTCTCCCTGTCTTTTTTTTTTAAAGATGGAGTTTCTCCATGATGTCCAGGCTGGTCTCGAACTCCTGACCTCAAGTGGTCCACCCACCTCGGCCTCCCAAAGTGCTAGGATTACGGGCGTGAGCCACCGCACTCTCTGTGTTTATCTCCAGGACCCTGCCTCTCTGCCTCGCAGGGTCCTGCTGTCTCTGCCTCCCTCTTCTCTTCCCCTCCCGTTCAGCTCTCAGCTGCACTGCGGGTTCCCTCTTACCTGGGGACTTGCTACTTCCTGCTGGAGGACAGGCAGGCAGGCGGGTGCAGTGAGTGACTAGGGGCCGACCCCCCATTTTATAGTCTGGCAGACACCAGGCCCTATAGTCTGTGGCACAAAGGGGACGCTGGTTCAGCAGGCCTGGGCCGGGAGTGGGGTTCTGGGGCCCCGACCTCGCCTGGATCACTGCAGACAGCAGCACTTTCCATTGTGAGACCAGCACACGCAGCAGAAACCCTGGCCACCGCAGCTTCACCTTCCAACCCTCTCCTGTCCCCAAAGGGTCCCTGCTGGCTGCCAACTTGGGGCAGGGAAAAGGGGAGACCCTGGGAGGCAAGAGACTGGAGTTTGAATCCTGACTCAGCCACTACGCACCGCGTGGCTTTTCGTAGGTCTCTACCCCTCGGGGGGCCTCTGTGTCTGCAGTGATAAGGTGGGCACGTGTTCCTATTGGATGCCACACAGAAAAGAAGGTGACAGTGAGCGTAGGAGAAGCGTTTTGTAAAGGCAGCGGTGGCTTTGACGTGGACAGCCTTTTTTACAGAGTGCTTACTGTGTGCTGACCCCGTGCTCTCTCTGCAGATCCCCAGGATAATCTGACTTATTTGGTACTTTCATTATGCCCATTTCACAGAAGAGGAAAGCAAAGGCACGGAGAGGTCAGAGCCAGCCCAGGCCAGCCAGCTCTGGGCCTGTGTGCTCCTTCTCTTGCTGTCCAGTCTTGACCTTGCCTGAGGCCCCCGTGACCTGACTTCCTGTTTGTAGGAAGGGGCGGGAAGCGGGGAGTCTCACTGTGCTCAGCTGGGCTGAATATTGGAGACCTGGGTCTTTTTCTTTTACCCACTCTGGGCCCCATCCTTTCCTGATCTGTCGCTGGTTACCCCTCCTGTCATCTCCCTTCCCTGCCTCTACCCAGCCCACGTTATCTGACCCGGGGGACAGGGCTGGTGGCCAGGAATGTGACTGCCTGTCTCAGAGCCTCCCACTCTGGGAAGCCCAGATGCCCAGCACATCTTGCTCACCACTGGCCCCAACACCTCGCTGGGCCTGGCTAGGTAGGGCTTGGCATATCGTGGGTTCTCAATCAATATCCAGTGACTAAGTGGTGGTTCCAATGGATCGGGACAGAAGGGGAGACGGGGAAACCAAGTCAAGGAGAGAGAATAGAGAGGCAGAGAGGGGTTCCAATGGATCGGGACAGAAGGGGAGACGGGGAAACCAAGTCAAGGAGAGAGAATAGAGAGGCAGAGACAGAGAAGTAACAGACAAAGAGAAAGGTGAGGACAGAGCCAGAGAGGCGCAGGGGACATGGGCAGTGAAGGGGCGAGAGGGGGAGACAGAAGTCACGGCAGGGCAGTCAGGCCTCAGGACGGCGGAATGGACACAGAAACCACGGGTTCCAATCCCCTCATTTCGCAAATGGAGAAACCGAGGCCCAGGTGGAACAAGTGACTTCAACAAAGTCACAAGGTGGGGACTCACAGTAGAGCCGGGGTCAGTGGGAGCCAGGGGAGCTGCTCAGCTGGGTCACCCACAGTCAATGCCCCAGTCCCAGGCAGGGTGTATGGGGGGGGGCGTCTGGATAGGCTCCTGCCTCTTCTCCGGGGGTCTGGGCTTCCTCATGGAGCCCAGCTCTGTCTCAAGATCCCCCTGGCCTGCGGCCAGCTTTGCCTCTGTCCCTCCGCCCACCTAGCACCCCCTCACTTCCCAGCACCTCCTGGCCTTTCATCCTGGGCCAAGACTTGGTGAGTGTGGGCAGGAACTGCAACATGGGGTAGCCACTAGAACTGGGGCCAAGATGCCTGTGGCAAGGGGCCACCCACTGGTCTAGGCTTCAAAGCCGGGTCATCCGGGGCAGTTCCGTGCCCTCCCAACCCTCCAGGAATGGGCCGTCTGCCCGAGGGTGGGGGCAGAGGAGGGGGATCGTCCACCATAGCTCCCCTCTGAGCATTTATTATTATTGCTATTTTGTCCTTTATTATTTTTATTACTATGTCTTTTTCTTTTTTGCCCTGTCTTACAGGGCCAATTTCTTTTCTTTTTTCTTTTTTTTTGCTTTTGGATTTTCCTATACTCCTCAGTATAAGGATGAAGTTTTTGGGATTAGCCCCAATTACAGATAAGGAAACTGAAGCAACTGCCTTTCCTTCCTCTCTACCAGCCCACTTTCTCATCAAAATAGAAATGTGAAATGAAATTGGAACTCACATCTTCTTCACTCATGAACCCAAGCTCTTAAGAACTATGCACGCCTGCTTTTTGATCGATAATTAATAGTAATCATCTTTGTTATTAGCAATGATAGTGATGAAAATACCATTCTATTTTTGTTGTTGTTTTGTTATGTTTTGAGATGGCTTGCTCTGTTGCCAGGCTGGCGTGCCGTGGTGTGACCTTGGCTCACTGCAAACTCCGCCTCCCAGGTTCAAGGGATTCTCCTGCCTCAGCCTCCCGATTAGGTGAAACTAAAGGCATGTACCCCCATGCCTGGCTAA